TCACTCATAATTTCATACAGAAAATGCTGTGAAAGAAATCCATATGAGCATCAGAAAAGGGTAGAGGCTCTAATACTTTTTGATATAGACTACCAGAGCATTGTAGTCAAGGCTTGGGTAATGTATGAGTTACTTCAGGTTTCCTCACATCAGTGAGCTATATCTTTCACATGAGGAAGGAGGAGAAGAGCCTTTTGGCCAAGCCCTCTAAATCATACCCAGAGGAGTGAGTCATTTATTATAGTTACAATTATATCAATATCACTAACACATAAGAGCTGCCATAAATCCACGCACATCAGTTTCTGCGACAACATGCATGATCAATGTAGGGTGGTTCCTCGGCTATTCTCTTAGCAGTTTCTTTCCAGGTTTCTCACAGTGAAAGTGTTTAATGAATCAGCAAGAAACACACACTCAAAAAAGAAACTCAGTGTATTAAATGTATAGATTTTCAGTACCTAATCAATTATCATCTTTATTCATGGTTCCTCTTAAAATTGTGCATGTTATTAATGAAAACCCTAACCCATAACCCTGCTGTTATTTCACAGTGTGTGCAAAACAAAGGACCACCTACACTTCACTGGAAATCCATTTGCTGCAGGGGTCAGTAGCAGGAGAGCAGGAGCTGACAGGGTAAAGAAGGTGCTTGCAACCCTGCATCAGCCAGTTGTTCCTCAGTGGATGGTTTCCAGTGCTGAAATCATATTTCAGGCCCTTTAACAAACTATTTATTTGTCCATTTCATGATAATTCTTGTGTTTGTGTGTGGACATTTTTCCCATGCAATATGCCCTCTTTAATTAAATACCAGCGGAGGGACAGATGTAGACCTCTGCAACTTATAAACAAATAATGAGAATTCACATGGATGTGATGTAACCCTGCAGTGGTTGTTTAGTCTGTTTCCTTTCAGAAAGAAAAATGCAGTGTAGACTTTATGAGTTGGCAAACAACACACAGATACCCCCACGCATGAACAGAGTGTCTGCCTCCTCTGCTCATTCACACACACACTGTGTGGGGAATCCTTAATGACAGCAGAGGCCAGAGAGCAGGAAGGATTTCTGACAATGGTGTCCTCTAACATTCACATCCTCTGTCAGTATTTACAGATGGTCAGAGTGTGTGATAGATCAGTTTTCCTCCATCCTCCTCTCTATTACCAAAGAATTACTGAATATCAACACAAATGAGGAGAGAAATGAGATTCTGTTGGTCAGTTTGATGAACTGAAAGTAAAATTAGAATATGAAACCGTTAAACTTTTCTATAAAATGTGCACTGTGTTGGTGTGTGGACTACTGTGAGGAAAAAGATGGCTCCTACTTTACAAATTTGCTCGCCTGTATTTTGTATTAATAGTTGTATTGATAGATAAGAAAAACTGGTGAGTGAATGTGGATGAGATGAAAAAAACACACTATTTCAGGTCCAATGAAGTCATTTATTTTAAAAATCCTTCATACATTAATACACTCTTTTTCAATATCAATAAGTCAATAAGGACATTTGATGTAGCAACTTTTACATCACATAATGGCATAATAACAGTAGATAGTCACTTTTATCCATATTATTCTGTTATGTTATACATTTACAAAGGGAAAGCATAAAATCAGTCACTGAGTTCATAATTAAATTGTTTTGTTGTTCAGACTGAAAGAGACATCAATTTATGTAAATAAACAAGTAAATAAACTTACACAGATCCACAACAATGCAATCTAGTAACTTTCCCACTGACTCACAGGACACTCAGTAAACAAATTAAATTTAAAGCAAATTTCCCTTAAACTGAAACCCTGCAATTTAAAGCAATATGAGGCTATTTGTTGAGGAACAGCTAGTTAGTCAAAAACAACAATAAACCCTGCACTTTGGAGGAAGTCTCCTCATTACAGAGCGTTTCATCAGAGAGATAGCAGTGTAAAAGTCACAGACACAAACTATTGCTCCATCACAGGTAATAAATAAATTTAAGGGGTTGCTGTGATAAAAAAAAAAACAAAGCAGACCTCCAGGCCCCCCCTTTTTTCTTTCACATCTTCTGCTCCACGCCAGTCTTCAGCTCTGAAACCAGTTCAAACTGCGGGACAATTCCTCCTCTAGTTTCTGTTCAGGTTGTGGTTGAGATTAAAATCCCTTCTCTCTTTTCTGTTCACTTCCGTTTGCTGCTTTGTTGTGAAATTCAGTTTTGATCCGAAGATATTCCACTTGGTTCGGTGCCAGTAAAGCAGGACGAGACGCGTTTAATAAAAGTCAAAGCAGGTTAAAAAAAACAAACACACATTTTCTAACTCATCTTAATTTCTTCTGCAGCGTTTTTTTTTTTTTTTACAACTCCCAACCTCTTGTCTCTCGAGCCAGCGCGCGTAAGAAAATAAAAGCCCTCTTGGGATGGAGATGATCGCCGCTCACTTGCGCGCAGGAATCATCGCGATACGTTCTGCCAACGCCGACGTGCACGCCAACTTTCTTTCTTTCTTCTGGAGGCTGATGGCAGAATTGTGTTGGTGCAGTGGAGATGGATGTTTTACTGCCTGCGCCCTATTAATGAATACATGAAGCAGCTCTGTGACTCTTTTATTCTACTTCAAACACTTTGAATGGAAGGCTGGCTCTCTCCCGGTGGTCCATACAAATCTCCACTGCTACAAGCTCTCTGTCCATCATCTTAGACAATAATATAGATTTAAAAAATATATTTTAAAAAATGCATCAAGGTGTTTTAATTCAAAAGCCGGTTTTCTCTAGGTAGGATGTCCTGAGTAGAGATGGCTGTTAGCATTCTCTTGTTGTCATTAACAGTTAGCCTACAGTAGGGCTACTTCCCCATATGTAAATATTACCCTCCACTGAGCAGGCGTGGTCTTCTCTTCTTTTATCCAATCAGGGAAACAAAATGAGCTTCCAGCTGCCCTGTCTGCTCCAACAAAGCTCCTCTTGGTTGAGTTACTTATTCATGGCTATGATTTACTTGTTATTAATGCAAATCTAAATTTAAGCCCAACCTAAAGCATAATGTCTTATTCTGTTTACATACAAAAAAGGTTGAAACTCATTAAAAGCAACAAAATGCTAAAAGTAAACTAACATGTTTTTATAGTTTTCTAACCTGATCCCATTTTATAAAGTATATTTTTTGCAGAGCAGCTCGAACCAAAGGAACTATGCTGCTGCTATTTCCAATTGGGGTGAAACTTCCTGTTTGCATGCCAGATTGTTGAATTTGATCTGAGTTACACCCACGTCCAATTACAGAGCCAGGGGCTTGATGGCAAGGATAAAATCTGAAACTCCATTTGCCCCATTTGGTGCTGCATTTTAACTTTGATTCACCTTTTTTTCATGTCATAGTTTGGTGCATTTGTCCACGATAGCTTTTCTTTCAGGTTTAAGAGTCTACAATTGAAAAAAATGTATCCAATTTCACAAATGCTTTGTTTTAATCCTTCAAATTTTAACCTATCTTCTCATACCAGAAAGATGTTTAATTCTAAATGAAATAATTCAACTTGTTTCCAATGCACTTTCACTGAATCAGTTCATTTTTATGCAAAATGAAGCACATCACAGAAAAGAATGTTTGATTACATAAAATTATTTTATTAATTTTCAGCTTGTTTTAGGGGAAAAGGCCTTTTACGTTAAAATGTTCCAAATGTCATTTTATGAAAACTATTTTAGATCTCAATAAATGACTTGTGCGTGCAGAAAGCTGCAGTGTGGGAGATGAAAGAAGGAGCTCACCCAGGGTTAAAATGGCCGCCATCCACTGAATACTGAGGTGATTTGTAGCCTATTGTAGTAGCTCACAGCCAAAATCTATGAATGAAATAGAATGAAATCAACTTAAAAGCTACGATATTCAAGGATTTAGGATAATACTTGCGTGCTGAGTCACATTCCCTTAATTGGCTGAAACTTTTTGGGACCTCTGTGTCTGTGGAACCTGCACGGATTTAAAGTCACTGATGATTTCTGCGACAAGAGCTTCATTTTGCCCTGATGCGCTCTTAAATCCGAGGATGCATAATCTTAGAAAATGTGAACACAGTATGATTTTTTTTTTTTTAACTCTCCCCCACCATCAAAGATTGGGCTGCTCAGTTTGAAATGTGTTACTTGGATTTGGAATGCAAATGCTTTGTTCATGAGGAGGAGGGATCAGCGAGGAGTCTGAAAGCGACGAGTTTTTGATTAATGAGCTTTGAAATGGCTCTCCAGGAGCAATAAAGGATGAACTGCTCTCTCTCTCTCTCTCCCTCCCTCTCTCTCTCTCTCTCTCTCTCTCTCTCTCTCTCTCACACACACACACACACACACTCACTCACTCACTCACATATATACACGCACATCCATCGTTGCATCATTTCCAATGTCAAAGCATGTTTTTTGTTTCAATACTTTTTGGTTTTAGTGCCACCACTCTGCTCAGTTTTACGCACAAGTGAATGGACACATTTCTATACTTCCACTCCGCCAATTTATGAAAAATGATTTTGAAGATGAGTCTCAGTGTGTACCAATCAATTAGACAGCCAGTGATTAGGCTTTGGTCTATAGGAAAATGGAGCTTATTCTCTTGTCCCAGCAGATGAGAAGGTAATCATGTGGCCGAGTCTAAAAAAGTGACATGTGGAAGATGCAATAGGCCCATAGACTCACTTCCCTCATACCAATAAAACATCAATATTCTCCAGAGCCTTTTATACCGCTGAAATGCACTTTGCATTGGAAGCATAGAGCCGTCTGATGAGTTTTAGATATCCTGGTGTCTAATTATTGATTGGCTCTCCCTGTTTGGACTGTACAGTAGAGCTGTGAAGTCAATAAGCCTCCTCAGTTCTGTTACCTGACAGTTTCACCGGCAGCAGCCACTGAATAAAGAAGTAAAATAATCATAAACAGTGGATGAGCAGTGCTGCAGGGGTTGTTTCTTCTTTTCTTCTTTTTACAAAATCAACAAACTGAAATAAAAAAAAATATATATACAAGTTTGAGCACTTTATTTACAAAATGTTAAACACAATAAAATATAACATTTCAATATCATTAGGGTTTCGTAAATTTATGGATATCCAACTGAACGGAATAACAATGGAAGACAAATAAAAAATAGCAATGGACTACACGAAATGACATGCTGGTGTGTATAATATTTCATACTTCGATAGTCTACGTTTTGCTTAAGGTTTGACACAAGATTAACCATGGACATATAGTGGTGTTTATACACTATAAAATGCCCCATTTATCCCAGATTTACAATTAGAAATGCTTTTTTTCCAACAATACACTGCGAGTCATAGCATTTTCCAAACCCTGTTTTACCAACACTTCCAAGTGCACTGATCTGTCCAATCTTACAAAAAACGCCACACTTATAAATACTCGCATATAAACGATAAATAATGTGCAATACAAAAGTTATTAAATAATAAATATGCTATATGCTAGTACGAAAGATTATGCAAAATAATACAAAATAAATAAATAGGATGCCCGTGAGGAGAATGAGATCCTGACAAACAGACGCAAATTTCCCTAAAAGTCCTTCTCTCTAAAGATGAGCTTCTACTTTCGTGATCTACAAGACTTACCTTCAAGTAACGGCATGAAATATTCAGTCAAAAATTGCGCATTGCACTTAAGAAAAAACAAAACCAAATAAAGAAAAAGGAACAACTGACAACCAGGCTAGTCTGCCTCTGCGCATCCCCAAATATTCAAGAGAAATGGACAAAGCTGTATTATTTAGAAAATAATTACACAATAGCATTAATAGTAATATCAATAATACTGTAATAATACACACGACTCACTTGGAGTGTAGTTATTAGACTAGTGAGGTAATAAAAAGAGCGCAACATAATTTTGGCACACATACACACACGCACGCGCACACACGCACACACACAGGAACCACATATTACAAATGCGTGAGTTTAGGCGCTTCCTGAATCCTTCCCTGAGACGCTTGGTGAGAGGTGAGGTCTGTGTATGTGGGATGGGGATCACAGGGTCCATGATGGTGGTTTCCTGGGATCTGAGCGGCACAGCTGTAGTCCACACTGGTGGATGAGGGGTGGGGAAGATGGCCGAGGTTGAACATGGGGCCCGAGGCTGGCATGGAATCAACAAAATTCCCACCCACATAAACGGGGCTGCCTTGCAAATTGGCGTTGGCAAAGCTGCCGTTGCTCTGCATGCCGTGGTGTTCGTACTCGGAGCCCGGGTACCTCTTCTGTTGTGGGATGCAGCCACCCAAGGGCGCCGTGTACGCGGCCAAACCGTACATGTTTTGCTGGGGTTTGGCGAATGACGGGGGCGAGGGCGCATCATAGCTGAGGCCGTTCTGGAGCTGGCCAGAGTATCCAATGTGATTTGGGCCACTCAGCGGCGGGCTTCTGTCCGGGGAGTGTCCCAGGGGAGAGTGTGCGAGCCCTTTAGACTTCTGGTCCTTTTTGTATTTCATCCTCCTGTTTTGAAACCAGATCTTTATTTGGCGCTCGGTGAGATTCAACAGATTTGCCATTTCCACTCTCCGAGGGCGACAAAGGTAGCGGTTAAAGTGAAACTCCTTCTCCAGCTCCACAAGTTGTGCGCTGGTGTAAGCAGTTCTGACCCGTTTGGAGGCCGGTCCCGGTGGGCTCTTCTCATCACTCACCTCGCCTCCTGTAAAGGAACCACAGCATCATCTTAGCGTCTTTTGAGTCATTTTTATTACAAATGCAATCATAAACTGTAAGCACAACAAGGCCCAGTTCACACCCCACCCCCCACCCCTACTCCCCCCCCACACACACAGTCATGCACACACACCTCCATCCTGATCTCTACCTGCAGTGGTGCAGTTGTTGCCCTTCTGCTTTGCGTTCTGCCGGGTCTCTTTCATCCAGGGGAATATCTGCTTGGTGAGGGCTGGTGTGGCACTGTTGGAAGCGCTGGTGGATGGAGATTTCTTCTTCTGGGATGCAGAGCTGTTGGAGCTTGGAGAGGATGCGGACAGTGGAGGTGCCTGCTGCTCCCCAATACTCGTGGCTTGGCTGCTGCTGTTGCTTTGACTGCTGCTTTGCCGCATGCAGTCTCCGTTCAGGTCACTGTCTTTGAGGGTCGGTGGCCGGACAGCGGAGGTCTGGATGGGACAGACTGACCCCTGGTAGTCACTGTCGATGTTAGAAGTAGGGTAGGACTGATGAGCCAGGCCGTAGTTGTAAGAGTCTGGTTTTGGGTAGGTGTAGCCTCCAAAAAGTCCAGCGTTATCGTAATATGTTGCTTTCTGCATTTTGTGGATTCAACGCCAATAAGCCAGTGAAACTCTATCCAATGGCATGGATGTTGTTTATTCACGTGATTGGTGTTTCCCACCGTTGCTCCAGTCTGTAACCTATAAACAGAAATATATCAGACTCATGTGGGCCCACACGAATAAGGCCTATACTCATTATAGCTGCAACTTCCCTAACATTAGTCCAATGACTGGTTGAGATTCAAGGTTTCAGATAAACCAGTGGAATCACTGTGCTTGGTCTCAAGACTCATGCTGCTATATGTTACAGCAGCTATTGGATTAGACATTGCCAACTATCTCTACACTACAGTGTCTGTAACAGTGACACATCTCCCAGTCCCGAGCCATCCGACTCATTTCTGGCACAAAACAGTTAAAGTTTAACTTGCGCTAAAAGGACCCTCGGGGAGGCTTTAGGAGTCCCTCAGAAATAAGCTGAATCAGCATTTGACACACACATACACACAATACCCTTTTCACTAATCACAAGGCCTGACAAAGCCCGTCATGCTTTGTTCCCTGCAGCAGAAATATAGCCCACCAAGGCCGCGCACACATGCGTTTGGATCACATGTTTACGCACACAATAGGCTACATATTAATCTCCTCCACTGTTTGTTATCATTGTTAATATCAAAAATGTGAAGGAAAGCGGTGTGAGAGTGTGTGTGAGTGTGTGTGGGAGAGAGAGAGAGAGAGAGAGAGAGAGAGAGAGAGAGAGAGAGAGAGAGAGAGAGAGAGAGAGAGTTTTGTTGGGTGGGGGTGGGAGTTAAATATGATATTTCATTAGCCTTTACACATGCCCCAACCCATATATTTGTGGCTGATTGGTTGTTTTTCTGCCTCAGACCCATTCATGCAAAATGTACCTTTAATTCTAAACAATAAAATAAATAAATACAACATTGCTCAAATAATCTGGTGGATATTTTCTTATATAAGCAGCTACATTTGTTTTTAAGAATATAAGAGAGAGACGCAACCAGCATTTTTACTAAGTTGAAACAGAAATATCAAAGGGCCCTGCACTGTATGTTGGTGGCTTGAGGAGGTGCAGTCTGCGCCGTGCATAACAATTGCACCTGTCAGTGTGGACCGCGGCAAAATTTATGACCGCAAATGTTATGGTTGTAAACGGCCTCAGAGTGGAATGAAAAGCAAAACACTCCTCAAGACTCGCAGCCCTCAGAAGTGTAAAACTAAGCGTAGGAGGAAGGCAAGGGAAAGAATTTCATACTCGGCGACTTCTCCCATACAGAGGCTCGGTTTATAAATGATGCCTCCATTCTGGCTGCGCGCAAGTCTGCAGCCAAACAGCGAGGGTGAAAGACTGGAGATATGTTGCTGGTTAGGAAGAGACAGGGCATACTGGCGATGGCGCATCTTGTAACCCGCTTAAAAATGTGGAACTCGTGGGATGAAGTGGGGGAAATTCTTCCTGGTGTTATAGTTTGTATGTTTTTCATTAATGTCTAAGAAGAATGTGAAGATGATTAATGCATTTTTCTGTTTGCTTTTCTTGTGGAAAAGGAGTATTAATTGTGCTCTTGTTCATTTGGCTTCACCCGTGCGGCGCTGTTGAAAACTGGACATATAGGAGTGGGACTCCGGCCTGCGCAAATAATTACACGTACAGGCTAAGTTGAAGTCATCCCTCACGTCTGTTTTAGTGATTTAAGCCTCCTGTGAAACACTGAGAGCGTTAATATGTAGCCTAATAACAAATCACCCTTTCACCTTGTTAGCAGTTGGCTGTGCTGTCCACTCCCTTCATTAAAGAAATGTTACTCACCGAAATCTGCACAAATCCGTTTTATATTCCTCACGCATTCATCACTGCTCCCACCTCGACCTGCAGAAAAATAAAATAAATGTTTTTACACATTAGTTTTGGGTTATTTTTTTTGTTCCTTTTAAATCACAGTCCAATATGGGGCCTGAAATTCGATGCACACACATATTTTATAGGGAAAATATATAAAAAATCAGGCCCAGTCTTCTCCATCATTTAAAATAATATAATTTAAAATCATAATAATTTAATATAAAAGCTCAAGTTAAAAAATTTATTTGAATTCAAATGATTCCTGAGCAATTACCCCCCTCATATCCTCCATATAAATATATATAAATTAAAAAGAACTTGTCACTGACCACATATGACACTTAAAAAAAAAAAAAAAAAAAAAGTCTCTGCTTGCACAGCTCGAGAGAGAAAATGTCTTACATGTGCACTTTTACACAAAGAGCCAGCCCAAATAATTTAGCAGTCATAAGCTTTTTTTAGGTGACCTTTGGGTCATTCAGCGTTAAGTCAAAGTTTAATGAACAACGAGCAGTTTGGCTTCAAGTAGACACAAGTTCTCAGATAAACTCAGAGCAGCTTTTTCAGCGGGGACTGAAACACAGGAGAAGATGCTCGACCGACGGAAAGAAAAGTGGAAATTAAAACCCCTCAGAACATTTCAGTGAATTGTTTTATTTTCACTGTGAGTGTGAAACCACGTCTGCTCTCCTGCGTGTATCTGAAAGACAGAGAGCTCCCTCAAAATGTGATCGTGGGGATTTTAAGATTCCTTGGATGTGGAATATTTGGTTTAAACTGGTTGATAATCTGCGCCTGAAGTGCTTTTGAGCACACTGGGCTACTAGTAGCAGACATGGTCCTCTTTTCAAACAACAGTGTTTTTCGCCTACGCGTTGTTACGGTAAGTTTGGCTCACACAATGGGCCGGACTCAGTGTCGAGTGTTATTATCCCAGGACTCGTTTCTCTTGGTTAGTCCTTCAAATTCTCTTCATATTTCAGGTTAAAACACTCCTGAGAGGCGTTTGTTGTTATTGCTACAAAATGTTTTGTTGCAACCGAGAAATAACTGCGGTTAATAATTGTGGAATAATTGTCGTTGTTGGAGTAAAATGCAACGTCTGTTTTTTTATTCTTGGAGAAAATAGGAGCTGCTCGCAAAATGCAGCAGCAACAGTTTTTGCCTTTTGTTGATTTCGGTGGAAATCCAGAAGCCATTCCTCAAAGTCGCACAACTACGACTATATTGCTTATAAAGATGTAGTGTTCGTAAATTAAAACCTTAATGCATTGTAAAACGAGAATGTGTGAGCAGAATGTAAGCAAAATGGAAAATAGTGCAATAGTAGTAGTTAAATTAAAGCTTTTATTTTCTTTGGGGTTCAGGCCTAATTTTATTCCCAACACCAAAGGAAAAACAAATAAATATTCACGAGTTAGAATTAACCAAATACAAGTAAGACAAAAAAAAAAAAAAAAACGTATCCAAATAGTAATAAAATGAAAGTATTTGCCTTATTCCTTGTTCACTATCCATCCCGGTGATCCTTTTAAAACTTCAAATATGAATTCGTGTATAATATAACGTTGCAGCTTAACAAAGCCATATAGTTGAAACACATAAATCACCGCAAACGCCACTGTGACGATAAGACAACAAATTAATGTGATTTACGATCCAAGAGTCAAAAAGAAAAGTTCCTCTCCTACTTCTTCTTCCGAGCCGGTTTTCATCGAAACGTGAAATCAGCTGAAAAGCGCAGAGCAGCTCAGGCTCAATCTGTCGATAATATTTGAACGCGCTTTCTTCCCCCCCAAAAAGAAAATTATGAATCTGCTCTTGAGGAAGTGGCTGTGGACTCCATATCCGCACGGTCGCCGGCGAGAGCGACATTAACAAGCATCGCCTCCTTGAGTGGAATAAATCATATATATTTCCTTGCATTATATTAACCCGTGGTTAAAGGTTGCTTTCTGCCATGCAATTGCTTACCTGTGAATCAATTCATCATAAACCAGTTTCCCCCTCTCTCTCTCAGTCTCAGTTCCTTTCCACGCAGTCTGTAGAATAAATCCTTCACCCTTTGTCTGTAGACAATGCTGTCCTAAACCTGATCTTGCTGTTTTTCAGACATTTCCATATACCAATGGAGACAGTATTCCCGAAAGAATGGAAGGACTCGCATTCAACTACCAATAAAAAGCGAACAAGGTATCCTTATTCCAGAAAAAAAAAATCCCTGGCAATCAATCACCCATTGAAATATACAGGAATTCAGAACCGGATAGGCCTGTGCAGATTTGGAGCTAACATTAGGAGATTTTTTGGTGTTTCGGAAGCTTTGTGATGACAAATAAAGGCGCTGCCTTAAGATACAAGCATATTTGTTCACGTGATTGTTCTCTTCTTCAACTGAGCCTTACCTCACCAATCCATTTTGATAAAGGGTGGCGTTTATTTCCTCATCTGAACTGTGTGAAAATGCCCCACTGCCTATTTCTTTTCATCTCCCACTGAATTTGCGAGCATTGCATCTCGTCTGCACCTCAGTTTTTAAACACAAGCATTATAAGCTGTTTTTAAAGGCGTTGATGATAAATATTTACACATCCTGTGTTGCTCTATCAGGGCAGTAGTTGCAGCATCCATAGTGCAGTGTGTTTGCGTGCGTTATTTCAACAGTTTTCTGTGCATTTTATATGTTACAGCAGCTTTGACATTTCTATAATGTTGTAGATTTTCTCCTAAAAAAGAAACTGTTTGCAATTTCACAATAAAACGTGTAAAATTGGCCTTCAACGCAGCACAGTTAAGTATTTTGGGATAATATTGTTAAACAATACTATTATACCTTCTATCGATGTCCTGTTTAGTCGCCCAATAACTGCAATGATGTGGGATGTTCATTTTAAAAATGATTTATGAAATAAACGACATGTGGGTCTTTTTTTTCTCTTCCAGCTGGGGCTGGATTGTATTCAAATAAACCACATTATCATATTTAGTTTGTTGTGTCTGTCCTCACACACTGCTGGAACACAAAGAGTGGGAGAGCAATGTCTTCTCCTGCATTGTTTTCAATATGAACTCACAGGGGGGGAAAAGCAATGGCATAGTCTAATAACCAATAAATAAATATATTGGAAAAGACCAGAATGGATTGGAAGAGGAAGATTTGGAGCCGCAGAGAGCGTCGGCTGCTTCAGCGGTGGCTTATCTTTGCTGTGAAGAAGAAGAAGGGATGCAGGACTGGTAGCGTCGCAGCATATGTTCAGAGGGTAATAAAAGTGAAAGATTTACAGTTTTCGCCCGGCCCCCCAACAGCCTCGCACCCTTTCAGGAATTACTGAGAATGATTTACAAGGAGGCAGAACTGTCAGCCTGCCCAAACTTCCACTACTTCTTAGAAATCAAAATCAAATCATCCCCCCACTAACAATAAAAAACAGCAGAAATCGACTGACCTCTCCAGCAGAAAGCAAAGATAAATAAGCTGCTATTTATCTTATGTTGGAAACTTGGAGTATAAATCAGGATATGTCCATTTCTACTTAGCAAACAAGATACAACAAGTTATAATTTTAATACTGTGTAAAAATATTCAGACTAAATTGGTAAAATAAATCTGAATAGGAGTCTGAATAAAGTATTAGTGGGCCCTGTGCAAGGGCCACACTCAGATGTATGTGTCCGAAAGAGCATTTATTCAGAGCCAGCATCCACAAATTCATGTCACTGCCCTTTAGTTTTTACCATTTATCCTCTCAGTCCCTCTCAAGATAAATGCGTGAACCAGCAAGCACAAAAAAAAATCTACCATTTCTAATATATTTAAGAATAAAAAAAAAAAACAGAAGACATGCACACAGCGACCAACCAAATTCTGCTTAGAGCACACACATCAAAGGGAGCAATTTATCAAATATCACGACATTTGATATCGTCATTTACCAGCTCGGGCAACATGAAAAATGCTGAAATATTTACCTACCCAAGCATCCATCGGTTCGGATGTGTCGCTAAAGTGCGGGGCTACGGTTGCGCCGGGTATCGGATATTATTTTCTTGGGGGATCTCTTCAGTTTTCAAGTCTGATAGAGTCCTTGCGATTAATGACGACGCCGTGTTTCTAGGGGGACGTGCTGCATTAATTATTTAGACAATCACGTGGTCGAGAATAGAGAGCGGAATGGTATAGTCTCTGGATTATATCTCTGAATGCAGACAGCGCACTTTAATATATCTTAGGGGGGTTGTCTGGCTCGTAGAGGCTTCTGCGAAAACAGCTGGAAATCAAATATGGCCGGATGGAGAGCGACGACGTTGTATTCCTGCACTGGGTGCAGTGTCATTGAAAATGGCACTGCCTTTGGCTCCCATTTATTGCTGTTCAGACATGTAGGTCAGTGTGGCTACACACTGTACGTTGTAGTAGGCTGCTCTGACCTGATAATTGCTGGAGGAAACTGTGTTATGATGTATTTCATTTCAATTCACGTTTTAAGACGAACAGTTCACACAGCTCAGGTTTGATATTGAATGGCTTTAGAAATAATAAATAATATAATGAATAGCAACTAATGGTTCACTTTAAAAACTAGCATGTATATATTAGGTGGATTAGTCCAATTGTGCCAATAGCACCCCCCCACTCCCCCACTCCTCCTCCTCTCCCCCCCCCCCTCTCTCTCTCTCATCCTCTCTTCAGCATCTATGTGCAGATCATTTATGGCAGGATGGTGGATTGGTAGCATCACTTTGTCTCAGCTCCTCTCTGAATCTATATGACACGCACTTGTATCTTACACACACACACACACACACACACACACACACACACACACACACACACAGAAACATATAAGCGCCCGTGCACGCCTATAAGCCCGCACGCGCTCAGTGGGGATCAGACAGTGGTCGCTGGGGATGAAAACACTGCTGAAGATTGTCTTTCCACATGTCTGTTTATGGCCACTATTGTTTGTATCAGAACTGATTGTGTAGTGTGGAGGGTCGGAGGTCATTGTTGCAGTGGGTCATATTCAATAATGCCACAGCTCGTGAAGCACGAGAGGGGTTTAATATCAAATCTGTGTGGTTGTTCATTATGTGTGTAAAACAATGACTGATAAATGTGGCGTAATCTGCTTTTGGAGCAGGGCCACCACCTCTGAAAGAGTTTGTATTTGAATCTACCAGGCCAGGAAACTTCATTTGTGTTTCTATTCCATAATAAAGACTTCTGTAACAACTCTTTTTCCAATAAAGACTCAATTCAAAGTCTAATAAGAAACCAAAAGCAGTTTTCATAGAATAAAATCAAACTGAAAAGCTCCACTTAGAGCTTATGTGGATGTTTTTTGCGCAATCATGCGCTCATTTCGATAAAAGCCAATGAATGAAAATTAAGAAAAGCCAGAGAATAAAGTCGTTTTTTAACATGTTTTTTAAAGAAATGCTACACTTATTGTAGACAACTGATATATTTATGCTAACGAATGCTATAAATTTCATGTTTGACAGAAGAAGAGGTTGGATTTGCAAATGCAGCGCACATTTGGTGCATTTGTGGATGTTTTGTAAAAGGGGGCTTTAGGTCCATATGGCTCCACGTGCTTGTTGCCACTCAAGAAACACAAATTTTCCCACCAAAAGTAATCCTTTTGTAAATGGAGCAAAACGACTGACACTAAATAGCCAAATTAAAATAAATAAATAAAGGAAAGTTAAGAGCTATAAGAGAAATTATAAAATACCTCAGTGGGCCCGGGAAAACATTTCCTCACAATAAGTGGAGTGCAGAAAATAAAAAATATTCGCGACAAAGTGCCCATAGCAATCATGTAAATGCATAATCAGTAGAAATCTTTATTTTTTCCAATATACTTCTCGCAATCTCAATGCACAATACAAGGTAAAAAGCATGTACAAAAATAAAACCAAAAAGATTGCATATTGACATGAGGAGACAAATGCACAAATCAGAACCTTTTGGGGGCTTCGCCTGATATAAATACTATTAAAACACGTGTAAAACTATGGAATTCACACACTGACTCTTGCTTTGAATGCTTTGGCTTTTTTTAAGTGTGGTAAAGCGCTCCAAACCAAAGCGAACAGCGCCTGGGAGAGAAAATGCTGCCTGTCCGGCGGGTCAGGGGGTGTTGGGGTCAGTCCTTGCGGCTGAAATGTGTCCCCTGGATGAACCTGCCACTGCTGCTTTGTCGACCTTCGGTTGAAATACCTTTTCAACTCTCTCATCGTGAAGACTTCAGAAAAGAAGACCTCCTCGTATACTGGGAGAGCTTCTGGGCTTTTTTTTTTGTCCGAAGACAATGACGGTACAAAACAAGAAATATCTGTCTTGAAACGTGACGTGAAAGCCCCCCTCGGTTAGCTCGGTGTAAATGAAAAACTCTAAAGATTCCCATGTTAACTAAGACTAAAACTTTTGCATAAAGCCATGCTAATAATGCACAAGAGTTCAAACATATTTTAGATTAATAAAAGTTTAACGAATACTTTTAATTAAAATTGTATGTGTGCTATACGAAAATTTACAAGTTGTTTATTTTTTTAAACAAATAAATAATGGCGTAAAAAATCATATGAAAAAAACAATTATACTCCTAAATATTCTGGATTTGATTATTTCTGATGAGAAACATCCAATATCAATTCGATGCCATGCAGGAACAAATGATCTTTCATATTAGAGTTTCAAATGGCACGAAAGAGCCTCTGAAAATGTACACTGTTTACACAGATGTCAGGAGAGATTTATAAGGGCACTCAGAATAGTATGCACACAGGAATGTCTTGCTTTTGGGAATAATATTTAGGCTAAGAAAATTTCAAAGCTTTATTGTACAAAATAAGTTAAAACATACTAGTCACAAAGATCTGAAAGATTCACGGGATTTTTGCAGTTTACGAAAGTAGGTTGTGTTAGGCGTGCTCTGTGGAAATAAGGTTTCCTTCAAGTATATATAATATATATTGTGCGTTTAATGTGAAGTTTCAATGGGAGAAAAACTGAAATAACCTCTGTCTCTGTGTGTGAGTGAGTGTGTGTGTGTGTGTGTGTGTGTGTGTGTGTGTGTGTAATTTGAACGAAAGGACTTCCCTGTTCTGAATGAAGCAATTAAATCTTTCAACCAGCGTGAATCCACGTGAGAAGAGCAGTAACACTTTGTTTAAATCCACGAAATCAGCCGAGGTTGTTCATTAAATGTCCTCGGGGGGGGACGTCCAAAAAAAAATAAAATAAAATAAAAAAATAAAGTTTGTTTCGATGGTTTTGAGTCTCTCTTTGAGGAAATTAAAACAAGAAAGAGGCTCAACTTTGAAAACCTCTCAAACCTCAAGACTGATTGATTTTTCTGACTCAGTCTTGAGTCAACACTGCTGGGGTCATTTTTGTTAAATAAAAAAAAAACAAAAAAACGACATCAGTCCATGCAAAAGTCAGATGCAACCTCTGTCTTTTTTTATGTACAGTTTATTTCTAAAAAAAAAAAGGTGTGACACACCTTCCTCTCTTATAATGATGTGATATCAGTCTGGTTATCCTTCTGAATGCTTTGCAGATGGCTGGAGGCTGGTGCAGATCTGCCCTTGGTGTTGGGTAGTTTGTGATCTTTCTTCCATTTCATCCGTCTGTTTTGAAACCAGATTTTGATCTGCCTTTCGGAGAGACAAAGGGTATGAGCTATCTCAATCCGTCGCCGCCTGGTCAGATACCTGTTAAAATGGAACTCCTTTTCAAGCTCCAAAACCTGCTGCCGGGTGTAAGCTGTTCGGGACCGTTTGGGCTCAGGTCCTGTGTAATCCGGGTTCACTGGGAGAAAGAAAACAGAAGGAAAAAAAAAAGAAGAAGTCACCAAATGTGGCCAATGCAGCATGCAGGCAAAAACAATACAAGAGGAGTCTCTCTACCCGGGGCGCTCAAACTTTGAGGAAATTCACAGGGAAGCGAGAGCAGGAAATAATGGATGATTTTCACTGAATTTAAGCAGATTTGCTGCAGATTTAAGCACCATTACAACCGGTCAATATGTGTTTTCAGAAGCTTTCAGGCGCTCACCTAGCGGCCTATTTCCTGAGCTATAAAAATTTATGACTTGTGTAATTGGCGAGGCCTTTCAAAGACTCCCATAAATATTACACTGAATGATTTCTAAAGTACAGGTCTCAGTTGGTCCATAAGGGAAGATGAAGGAGAAGGAGAAGTGGAAATCTTACCAGTAGTTACGTGGACTTTCTTCATCCAGGGGTAAACTACTGCAGGCTGCTTGGCTTGTATCCCATTTTGGCTCTTTGTGTTTTGCTGCTGTCCACAAGTCCGGGGTCCGGCCACTTGGACCGGGGCCCCCTGCTCAGTCTCTGCGCTAAAGGGACTCGAGTGGCCGGATCTCTCCTGCACATGACCCCGTGGCTGTGCTGTGGAGTCCTGCACAGTGTTGCAGCTGAAGGGCTGCTCCGTGTAGTTTGACCGTGGGTAGATCCCTGGATGCTGAAAGTCTGTGTCCTGCGATGTAGTACTGTAGTAGTCCGAGCCCTGCTCAGGTATATAGTTATTTTGCGAATATTCCTCGCAGGGAGGAAATTTGGGATCCACATACTTAGAGTTCACCATATACGAACTCATGGCCATTAATTTCTGAAGGTAGAAAATACTAATTTTTCTCGAGTTGTCTTTTTTTCCTCCCTCCATAAAGCCCTCCTACTTGGTGTCAACTGAATAAAGTTAGCGAACCATGTGACCAGATCGGCCAATAGAGGTGACGCTGGTCCATAAACGGGTAAACATACAACTAAAAGCAATTTCATCTAACTTGAGATAAAACAAAATTAGACCCTGGTGGAAAAAAAACACAAATATTGTCATGACAGATCTGCGTGCACATTTGGATTATAAAAGGGCATGCTGGAAAAATAATAGAAATGAACATGGCTCCAAAGCCTTATTCAATATTTAACTTTAAAATTATAAAACCCATTTTTAAAAAAAAAAAAAGGTCGCGCTGACTGTGCATGGAGATGTTTTATTCTTGCAGATATTAAAATATTTCAGTTTCTAAGGTCTTACTAGAAGGCATGGTGTTCAACAGAGAAACCAACAAAAGATACAAAAAGCCCCATGGCATAAAAGCAGCGAATAATGACTGGGGACAATTGATGGAGACAGTCTTTGTCAAGAAGGGGTCATCCAAAAGTTACACGAATCTCATCACTTCATCTGCTCCCATCCCTTTGAAGAAAAAAAACTGTCTCAGGAGCCTATTGGCCAGCAGCAGCAGCCTCTGGGAATCAATAATGTAGAGACACAAACGACTCACAGGAGGGAGAAGCTACAGCTGGAGTGTGCTGTGGGTTCGTTTCTTTTACCAAATCCACTCTGGTGCTGGGCTAAATAGAAAATGCCTTCTTCCTAATTATGTTTATTTTCATGTGAAACATTTTGTGTCAGATTTCATATAAGCCTCTTGAGTTTCAACATGCCCCTGAGCCGCTCTTTGCGTGTGTGTATGTGGTGTTGTCAGATTTACTCTCATTCATGAACAGCACTGTCACTGTAGCAGCTGACAGGCACCAAACGGCCTGATAAGATGGCAATAAGTCAACAAATCGAAGTTTTTTCATCGACCATATACTCCCCTAGAATCGAATCTGTGACTGTGGTTTGATCACACAAATTCGGTTCTACAGGGTATATATAGACGACGGCAAGCGACACTTCCCACTTTTGGCCCTATAACCGCAGCACTTTATTTGTAGAGCACTTTCAACCAAACAAAATTTACAAAGTGGCTCACAGTCAGGATAAACAGAAACATCACAGGAACAAGGTTACATAAGGAAATAAGAGGCATGCATCACAACCAGATGGAGTAAAATACACTTTGAAGGAGTCTTTTTATAGCCTATAATAATACCAGAGTGTCTTCTTCTATTCAGTCTCAACTTTTAACACATTTTCTCTGATTGGATCAGCCTTTTTCTTTTCGTTCTGATGATTTCCTTTTAATGCATTTCTCTTGAAGCAAGCCTCTCTTTGAGTTTAGGGCCTTTGTGTTGTTGGTTTGAACCAAAAATTGATCACACATTAGTTTCAAACGTCTCAAAAAAAAAAAACTGTAGGCCTACAGGCTCCCTCAGCCCAGAGCATAGCTGTCAGTGTAAGCAGCAGAAGACACTGAACGAAAATATCCGCCAGTATATCAGGTCAGTGCGTTAAAGGTGTCTGTGCAGTAGGTCATCTGTCCATCATAGTCCAAGTTCACAACAAGAAAAAAAAAGCCCATCTTCTTTAAATGATATAAATAACTTTTCACTTTTGCAAGCTGTCACCTCATAATCAAAGACAAGCATTTGTCAAATAACGTTGATATGAACTCACCAACAGTTAACCTCCATGGCTAATACAGAGGAGCTTATCACCACTGCCCGAAAGATGAGACTAGAGGCCACTGAGGTCGAACTAAATCATTTACAAACTTATCAAAAAGTTCAATTATTTTCCGTCCTGCTGACAGCTCAAAGGGAGCAAAAGTTTACCAATTCCTCGCCGGCCATTAACCAAACCACCATGGCGGCTCCTGCAACATCCTTACAAATGAATTAAAGCTGAGAATGGTTAAGAATGGCTTGTTATTGTGTGTTATGATCAGAGTCAGCAAAATATTTCTCAAGCACACAAAATGATTTATAATAAAATATTTTCTTTTTAAATCAGTCTAAATGGGAGAGTTTATAATGTATTCTTATGGCAACTAGGCTACTCGACGCTTTGGGTCAGTCAGGATCAGATTTTGAATGAAAGAATGAAATTATAATCTCAGGGTAAAATTTATGTAACTTTTGTTTTGAAGCACTTTTGGCCAAATGTGACACTGTTTATATCACAGGTCTAGAGAAGCTTAAATAATAACTGGGCCATATTTTCTTTTGTATTAAAGAACAATTGTATGCAGGAAGTAACTGATTATTTACTGGATGGTGCATTAAATCGTTTTTCAGTAGAACATTTTGGCTGAAGTTTCAGCTTCAGCCTCATATTGTCAATGTAAAAGTTATAACAGAGAAAGTAAAAAAAAAAACACACAAAGCACCAAAATGAGCTGTCGACTTAACATAATGTCACAAAGACGTGAGGCTTTTATCTCTACTCTGTATATTTACACTTTCAACAAAAAACATAAAATATTCGTTTCAACCACAGTTAAAAGATTAAATTATAGCATCTGTAAAAATTCGTTCTTGCACTTCACATTTCAATATTTGTTAGACAGCCTGACCTGTCTTTCACCTTGCCCTGCAAGTCCTTCAGACGGGTCAAAGCCGAGATTCACAACAAAAGAATGATAAAGTCAGCGTTTCCTGGCAGCTTGTGTTAAACGAAAGGCCAACTAGTTCAGCCCGACTCTGTTTCCATTAAGATTACAGGCTTTTGCTTTTAAAAAGATTAAGTTGAGCGTTTGAGAGCAACAGAAAACAAGAGGCCGATTTAATCAGATTTTAGGGCGAAGTAAGGGAGCGTTTATGACTGGTAATAATATAAAATATAGGGTAGCTTAAATTCCTTGTAAGCCTTGTATTAAATAGCTAATTATTTAGCCCTTGGTACAGTGGATTTCTAACAATGACTGACGAAATTAATCATTTAAAGGCCTGCAGAAGAAATGCATTAGGCCTACAGTGAATAAAGCAGCAGCATAATGTGAAATAAACAGCTTTTTATTGTTGTAACCGCAGTGCTGTTTTTAGTTGTTTATACATCTCAGTGTGGTTGAAACTGAAACTCATATTGTCGCACAAACGAATTGTTAATTGTGGAAATGGCAACAGAGGATGAGCTGCAGATTCACAATGGTACATAAAGATGTATTATTTTAACCAGGCTATGAAGATATTTCATCCAATTCTTCAGTAGTCTTTAAAAAAAAGTCTGCTGACAACATGTTGATTTCTCAGCCTCAAACAAAATACGAATCCAAATGCAATCAAGGGAATAAATCACAGCAGTGAACCAAACAACTTGAATAAAAGCATCAAACAAAGCATCGATTGAGTCCTAAAAGGTTTAAACCCAAACCAAGCTCAAGCTCACAGTAATACGATTAAACACAATTTCCTTTACAGCAGCGCATCATCTAACCGTCTCTGCTTGTTCTCAACACTGTTGCCGCTTTTAGAGGCAGGAAACACTATAGCCTAGCCTATGCGTGTGACATCACACGCCCATACCACGAGCATAATGATAAAACACAGCTTACCACAGAGACCGCAACACATGGCACACCGAGGAGCAAACACATCCCTGCTGAAGGAAAAGTCAGCCTGGATCAGCTCCCTGCCAATTGAAGCTCTATTCCAACCCATCTGGACGGTCTTACTAATACACAATGAGAATTATATTTTGGCTTGTCAAGTCCCGGGCCATAAAACAAACTTTAATGGCATCACGTGTTTCCTCACAGCCACTCACAACACCGCGCAGACCCATAAATAATCCTCAAAGTTGCACTTACTCAATAACGCCGATTACACTGATGTGCACTAAGGAAAAGTCGTAGAAACTAGGAAGCCCGGAGGTTGTAACTGTCATGGGGGCAAAAGTGCACTGAGATAAAATAAAACTACTCCATTTTATTTTGGCAATGCAGTTATTTGCACTTGAGTCTTATAAGCTACTAATGCAATGCTTGAACAAACAACAAAGTCTGGTACAAGTATAAGTGGATTCCTGAGCAATAATATTAATAATCTTATATGTTCTCCACTTATTTCATTCAAGAATTAAAATTATTTTTGCTCACAATTGGACAGACTTGATTATATATCATTTTACTGAAGCCTCTTGACCTCTAAAGTGTTCAAAAAACATCCAACATGCATCACTGATTTGTGTTCAAATATATTTTTCTCCCCAGTGAACCTGACACAATAAGACTGATGTCATTCATTCTTCCTGGCCAATCCCAGAGCGCAGAGCGGTTTTGTCCCTCCTCTCCCTTCCTGTGCAAACTGGAGAGGGCGGATGATGTTGAGGTTTGGTTGGCTGCCACATTGGGGCAGGTATGATAAATGGAAGGGCATCAAATCAGAGGCTTGTCACTTTTTACATGCATGTCCTCATAAAAAAAGTGATTTCCCAGGAGATAATTTGAAGGTAACCCCCCCATGGCCTCCTGGGTGTTTTAGAAGTACATCCCCTCATATAGTTCCTGCTGTTAGTGGGTACTCTGTAGTTTAATGGCTTGCAGTTTTATGCCCATAAACACACAGGTTTTTTCTTTCTTCTCAGCTCCATCAGCACCCTTAAAGAGCATTTCCTTTAACATCCCCATCATGAGGAGAATGTCATGCTGCTTAACTCTCAAGAATCTGTGTGACAATGTTCAAACAGTTCATGTCAATGAAGCTAGAGTTTGTTCAGCATCTTTAACTGAAGTGGCTTCTGGTAACAAAGTGTCCCCTGTTTGTATAAGATTAATCAATGACGATAAACATAAAGTACAATACAATTAATTGGTTTGTAGAGCACTTAAACATAAAAAATCCCACAGCACTAAATGCAGCCATAAATAATCAAAGCAGATGATCTCATTTTTTTTTTACAAGTGCTTAAAATTGTGATTCTCTCAACCACATTTCTCCAAAACCACTTTCAAAACTGAACCGCATCACATGACCACGTGTCTCAGCCAATCGCTGTGCTCAGGAAGCTGCTAGTAAAAGAGCCTGAATGGGAGCAGAGAGGCTGACTGTTGGGCAACAGCGCCTTCTGGTGGCATTTTAACGGCTTCCCCCCTTTCCCACTGCAAAAAATGTCCATCTATACTAACAAGTGATTTAACCCAATCATAGGTTTTGTGAAACTATTGATACACATGTGCAAGAAAGAAGAGGAAACTTGAATTCAAAATAGCTCACTTCAATATAAGTCAATTTAAGTGAATGTGTCTTAAAGGAAGTGGGCCGATAAATCCTGATGCAAGGCTTGATTTAATGAAATAAAACTAGAAGAAAGAAGATTCATCTCAGGCTTTTGCATAATTTTCTGCCTTGATTTTTGGATTTAAGCAGATATATGGATATGAAACGGAGTGCCATGCGAGTATAAGCATGTTTTGCGGTGTAGATGTTTTTATTTATCATTAAGCAGAAAAAGCGAAATAAACTTGTTGCTCGTGATGATGGCGATAGTTATACAGAAAAACGACCAGTTAATGAATAATTTTACTAACTTTACTAACTGTAAAACGAAAAATAAAATAAAAAGTATAAATAATATATATTGTACCTTTTAGCTTTGATATAACTGGTCAGGAAGAAACATTTATTTACAAAAGCTCTCTCAAAAGTGTCACACAATGATGCAAAAGAGCCAAACACTGGACCAGACTACATGTCTGGGGGGGTTTGAATAAGGGTGGAAAGGGGAAACCACATCCATTCATGGAAAGTGCTATCTGTTAAAATGTGTGCAGGGCCTGCGGTCTGACATTGTTCTACATAATTAGATATAAACGTAATAAAGACGTGTAGAAATGATGTAAGATATGCACATTGTCAGATTAAAAGGCACAAAGTGAGTCCTGTCTAATTCCCCCAGCCTTCTAGTTGTGCCTGTCTTCCAGGGTCCATTTTGCCGCATTGCAGTAAGGCTGTAAATACTTTCGCAGCTGCCTGTCAGGCCACAGTGAAATACTGTCTTTGTTCAGTTGGCCCCATCTCCAGGCAGCTGAAGACAGCTATGAAAACTGAACAACTTCTGCCAGGCTTGCATATGTGGAATATAGCAAAGCAGATTTGTTCTGCGTCGAATATACTGCAGCATTTTCACATCAGTATGTGGAAATATAAAAGGTTCATCAAGATGCAATGCAGGTTTTCTGGTAGCTAAAGAATGCAAAATGATTATAACTTTGGATTTACTGCCGACTCAGATAAACCCGGGAATATAAACAGGCTAGTCGACATGCAATAAGCTGCTTCAAACTAAAAAGTAAATGGGATGTTTGGTTCAACACATGGGGCTGTCTGTATAATTAGTGGGAAAATGACTGCACTCAGTTATCTGCATCAAAAACACTGCTCAGACACCATCATTACTGACTTCAAACATCTATCTCTGCAGAATAATCTTGAAATGAAAAGGCCAGATTGGATACATTTCCACCAACAAAACAAACAAACATTAAGCCATTTGATAGCCCAGCTGATCATTTCATTAAAATATGTGTCTTTGATTCTTGCAGCATAATAGCAGTGGAGGCACATTTGCATTAAAACTAAGACCTTTACCCACCTTTTCTCGGAGTAAAGTATAAAAACAATAAATTTCAATGCATCCAGCAACATGTGAAATCTCCAAATTACTTACAGAGTCATTACCCCGCTGCAAATTTACATGACTAATGAAACAGGAAGCTGTCAAACTTCACATGCAGACACACACACACACACACACGCGCGTAAATAAAGTCCATTATCACACAGAAAGCTTACCTACAGCCGGGAGGTAATCCATGATTATTCTTTGAGGTTTACCTATGCAGTGCATTTTTGATCAAGCTATGAAGAGCCAGTGCCGCTGTGTGCATGAAGAGGTCAGATATGTAGAAAGTTGAAATGCTCCTCTTGTCATCCAGGAGAATGAGCAGCGCAGTGTCGCAAATATGTGCTGATCAGACGTTTATGAGACGAATGCAATTTTTAAGAAAGCCGACCGTGGCGTATCGGTTTGAACGACATAGAGGCAGAATGCAGTGGGAAAAAAATCGCCTGGGAAATCAGGAAAAGAGCCATGAAGACGTTTGCCTCTCACACATGACCAGTGGCATCCAATGACAGGCGATGGAGGCACATAAAAAAGTCTATTACCAAGTTGTAAATTGTCCTCTCACAAAAAGGAATTTCGACTGCAGCAATTCTCCCCATCTTTGCGCATAATAGCAGAAGCCCCTCCACGTCCTCTGGAGACAAACAAGAGTTTTTTTGGTGGGGGGTTTTTTTCCTCCTTGTTTTTTGTTTCTATCACTCAACCATAAAATGATGTTAAAGTGCAAAAAAGCAGTTGGACTGTAGCCGTAAAATGTTTTAGCTTTATCATAATGCACATTATTTAGTGAGTATTTTGGCTTATAAAATGTAACCCACTTTTTCTCGAACATTTGGCTAAATCATGGTGACGCAGTGTCTCCTTTATTCAGAATAAAAGGCGACATATTTCTGTTTAATCCCCCAAAAATAATGATTTGTTAGATATGATGTCTGGTTGGTTTTTGCGTCGAATGAAATCTTTTACACCAATAAAGACGAAATTTAGTGATGTTTTTTTTGTGTTTTGTTTTAGTTTTTTTGGCAAGCGGCCTACACACCAACTGTTAACAAAGTGGCACATAGTAAAATCTTATTGGGTTTAATTATAAGTAAAAGTAGGTTGTAAATAAAGACAAAAAAAGAAAAAAGAAAACGAATCCTAACAAAAAAAAGTATAATATTGTGTCATTAGCCTTCTCAATTATTGTTCAAGGAAATTAATATGCTTTAAATCAATCCGTGTGCCTCTCGCTGTGTATGAACACAATATTGTACAGCATCGTCTCCTTCACACTCACATACAGGTCAGGTGTTATTCAGAAATATGCAGACAAATTAGGTTGGAATTTACGGTATATAAAGCATTTTCACGCTATTGACCCTCGAGGTTTAAAAGGCTACATATTGCAACTGCAGCCCCCTCCATGTTCTGCAGCAAAAAGGAATTTCTTTCATTTCATTCTCGTTCATCTGGTGGCATGCCAGAGTCAGCACTGTGCGATTTATAGTCAGGCTATGGCTGGGTCTCTGGTTTCCTGTCTTATAGTTGTGTACGTGTGTGTGTGTGTGTGTGTGTGTGTGTGTGTGTGTGTGTGTGTGTGTGTGTGTGTGTGTGTGTGTGTGTGTGTGTGTGTGTGTGTGTTTGTGTGTTGCAAGAGATCAGGATTTGTTGCATTACACAACTATGACATTATTGTAACTCTAGTCCAGTGTAATCCATTGGGAAAAGGGCCATTCTAATGGAGGGGTGGAGGATGGGGTCTGGGATTAACATTGCTTTAGTTTTGGTGCAACGATAAAGATACAGAACAATCTGTCCGCTCATTCCTCTTACATGATGTTACCGTCTTTTATTTTGGGGGTCACTGATGGCAAGAGCCTCCACGTTGCTCTGGGCGGATGGTATTAGCTCCAGTGTGTGATATAGTGGCGGACCAGTGCGCAGTAAATGAATGATGGAGAGCCAAAGACAGATCTAGCGCGCTCACAGTGGTCATTTCCTTTGATTAGGGAAAACAAATGGTGTCCGCTACCGGTCTGCTGGATAATAAGAGGCGTACAGATCAAACAGTCACTTAGATAGGTTCAGTACATAGATAGATGTACTCAGTGTTGCCAGCATTACCTTCCCCTGCTTTACTTTAACATTCCTGACTGATACTGAAAAAAAGAAACATAGAAAGACACAGGGTCTGTGGGTGGGGCCCGGATTGTAACTATAACACACAGCCGCAACATTGTTAGACACCTAGAGGACTAATAAAGATGTGGCAACCACCAGGATAGCACGCCTCACAGGGTAGCAGGTCTCCATGTTTTCATTTTAATTCAAGAGCCTGGTGGGATTTTCTTTCTTCCTGTTCTCTCTCTCGGTATTCCAATTTATCCGGTTTAAGAATATAATATAATAATGCAAAAAACATCCAGGTCAATTGTCCAGGCCAGTATATGTTGAAGTGGGTTGGAGTTATTCATAATGAAAACACTGTTGTTACTTAAAAAATAATTTAAATAAACTCAATTTGACACGTGTTTTAAAAACTAGAGGTGCCTAACAGGGAAGTGTAGGCCTGTGTCACAGTATAAACTCATGGTTTCCTTCCAGCTCTAATTGTACTTTCTCCACAGCCTGATTCTCAGACAGGTAAATATGAGGCCGTCACAAAGGGAGCTTTTATTTGATGTTGATTTTTATTGTGTCTTTGTCACGTTGACAGTTTCAGCGCTTAATATATATACATATTCCCTGTTTACAACCACATGGATTCAAAACGCTCGAACCATAAAAGTCTGTTGCCAAGAAAGTAGAGATAACATGACTGATGAAAGATACTGTTTACACGCACAGCAACACACCACACATGTGTCATTATTACCGAACAGACCAATCGGGATTCCATCAGTTTTAATGATGGATTTACAAAATAAAGTCGTTATATTACCGCCCATTGTAGGCTGTAGCCAATGGTGTAGTGGTGCCTAAAAAAGTGGAAATACTCTTAATTTATGCCCTTTTTTATATATTTAAGGATGAACTCCCAACTACGTATTTGCCCATTGTCATTTAACGTCAGAAAGTAAGGATTAATAAAATCATGCATTTTCAGTGAAGTATTCTTTATTCCTCACTCCATCCACTCACGAAAACTGGACCATTATGTCTTGCCTTTGCCATCCAAAAAATAAAACAAAAAAAGAATCAGCAACACTAGACACAAAAGAGGGGATTTAGAAGTGGGTATACCCCGTGTACCTGAGTATACCCTGCACTAGACCACTGGGTGTAGCCCATGATTCAACATGCATTCCATACATACACTACATTGTATCATTCTGTGTTCCAACTAAGTGTAGAAACACACTGTAGAACGTTCCGTATTCTAGAGTCTGGACGACTAGAACGGGCTACCTGCCTATCAAATTGCGCCACAGACCTCAACTGCTTTTCAGTTATTGTGGTTTTGGTTGTGAACCGAAAAAAAAAAAAAAAAAACGTAAAGCAGACTAATGGAAACATGTTTTGAGGAAATGCAGTGAGACCAGGACCTGGAGTAATGTAGTCTATAGGCCTGACAAAAGGGATAACTGAAGTAGCATAAGGTTTCCAGAAATAGGTTCAATTCGAAACTTCTCCCCCCTCTCTCTCTCTGTGTCTCTCTCACACACACGCACACAGACACACAAGCAGACACACACACACACACACACGCACACACACGCACACACACACACACACACACACACACACACACACACACACACACACACACACACACACAGACAGACAGACAGACAGACAGACAGACAGACAGACAGACAGACAGGCAGAGTAATCAGAGAATGTCTATAAATTGGCACACTTCTTATACTTTCAGAAATACGCAGAAAGGAACTGCATTTATGTGCTTTCTCTTATTCCAGCTAGCCGACTTGGACCAGCGATATTTCTGCAGAATAATCCTGTAACTTTACTATTTAACACAGTTCTGGGGGAAAAAAACCCCAACATTAGCCCAACTTTGTTCCCAATCGGTGACACAGCTATCATCTCGGGCCTTCACACAGTAATAATAACGCAAGGACAAAGTGTGCGGATATGGCGCACTGCTGCATCCACGGGTGTAGTGACTGCAGCTAATGGCAAGAGTGAAATAGCTGACCCCACTGGCCTGTAAGCAAAGAGGCACATGACTGTCTATAACAGTACAGAGAGGGTGACTGCGTGGAAATTGACACACTGACAAAAAATCCCCCTATCAATCGTATTTTCGTCATCATCAAAGAAAAGGTTTGATCCGGTTATTGTGTGCGTGTAATCATGTCGACACATATATATATATATTTAAAATAAAGAAGCTGAACATCATCATTCTGGGGTCAAGGTTTCAGCCGTGACAGTCACCTTATAGTCAGCAACCAACTGTAGCCTACTTATCACACATGCAAATAATCAAGTCAACGTTTCATCTAATTGCTTCAATATTTTGTATCCATATTGTGCTGTGAGTGCTGCCATTGGCCGTCAGTGTTTGGATGCTTTGAACAACTGGAAACCTCATGACAATCATCACTTTGAATGGCGATGACTGAAGTAATGTTCACTGTAACTCCTCAGGACACAGAGCAGTATAAACCGAGGGAGGCGCCTCTTGTTCTTCCTCTGCAGACTGAATTAAGAAAAAGCAGGCCACACTGCGCTTTCATCAAATGTGTCAAACTGGAGCTGTGCTGTTTAAAGATCTAATAATCAGTTTTCAACAGCCAGTAAGCAACAATAAGTGTGTATGAAATACATCAGTCCTGAAGCTGGATAGCCAGAGCATTTAGATAATGGAAAAGTGTTTTTGTTACACTCAGTTTTAGGGTCACAGAAACCATAATTGTAACCTTAATTTAATTTATTATAGCTTGATAATTCTGCTAATGATTTTTTGCCGTGATTGTGTTAATTGTGTAGGTGTTTTATGTTGCAGGCTAAACCATTTGAAAAGAAAAAATGTATAATGGCTATTTTCTTCCAAATGCCCCTGAAGCACAGTGATTTAATCAAAAACATCCACGCTGCAACACTGCTTCAATATTAAAGTTACATTTGAGTATTGGGAAATAAAAAGGAAAAAGGTTGTTCTGGTGTCTCCAGAACCACTACAGAGCTTACATAAAATATTATCCGTCATCAATAATTTCATTACCTCCAAGGACACTACAACACGGACAATAAAATACATGCAAAATACTAAATCAATATGATAAAGTTTAGAGGAGGATATATGGCCTTTGAAGGGGAAATTTAGAGGACTGCATTTCTGGTTCTCTTCTGATGAACTGAGGCTGCTCCTGGCTCCAGTAACCCTTCTGAGTGTCGATCAAAACTGAATGCTCTTTTTGCAAATGTATGAGATGAAATGAGACAATTATCTAGAGTTTTTTATTTTTTTATTTGCATATTAACAAAAGGCGATTAAAAAGTAGGTACTGGGGCTTTCAACTGTTAAAGAAGTGTAATATTTATTTATTGTTTTTGGTCTGTTGGTTTTTAGAAAACTATCTTTCGATTCTGAGGAAGAATACCATTGTAGTATTATTATCATTGCTTTGAGGGCTTTTGATTAATCCCAAATAGAAAACCTCCAGTTTTAATTAGTATAGTTTTTTTCCCCATACAAATCAATGAATCCATGAGTGCATGCTGTATGGTATGGTCCATGTGTTGCCTACATGTTCCAGCTGTGAATGAATTGCAGTAACTGAAACTAAAAGAACAATATCGCCCTCTAGCGATCCCATTACTGCCCCCCTGAAGCTCCAGCAGAGATAAACACATTGCATTTACTCCTGCACAACTCAGGGTTTTGTCATTTGATTTGACTACAACTGCCTCTACATGTTCTATTGTTCACTTATTAATTCATTAATTTATCTGTTATAAGTTTAAGAACATTCAAAAAGGTTTATTTCACTAGAAGTCTATATAGTTTGCATGAGGTAAGATCAGGACATATTTCCTGTTTTTTTTTTTTTGTTTTGCATGTCAAAATAAAATAAATTCATCAGATGGTAAGACTGCATCGGACACCAGTCAAAGTTAAGTTTTTTTTCCCATCGGTGGGAAGTGCAGTTGATGAATAAACGTGACCATTAAGGTGGGGGATGATTTCCTTTAAGACAATTCACCGACCAGACACCCTGTGGAAAAGTGTCTACATTCTGTTTGTCAGCAACAGACGCAAACGCCCAAGAAAAAGGGGGTTTCAAAGGAGAGTGTAATTACTGGCCAGGACCATAAAGTCATTTAGGCCAGACGTCTAGCCATTTCTATAGCTTTATTGGACCGCGTTTCTTCCTGCTTTAAAGTAATTATTCGTACAAGTTGGACAATAAATTGGAAATCCGCCGCAACACCTCTCCCAATCGTAAACACTTTATTACTCGTTCTTCTACGTTTCAAATCCTCGATTCAGAAAAAAAAGTTAAATTTAGCAGAAGGCCTACAGTATGTAGCCTTATTTAGGATTAAAGTGCTAATAATAAAGATTAAAATCCCTCTAATCTATACATTTGCAGTCTGCAAATTAAAAAATGCAACTGTCAAACACTGAAACTATTGAAAATAGTTACAATTTATTTCTTCTTGTGTGTGTCTGCATTGTGCCGCAGTAGCAGTGTAACTGTAAACAAGGCCTCAGGGATAGGTTTTTTTCTTCCAATCTTATTATTTAAATGAAACAACCCGCCAGTGTGCCAGAAACACGCAGAGAAAGTTGTTAAATGGGTTATTTAGAGTAAAATGTCACACTGTATATTGACACTTCAGCTAAATGAATGATTTGCCAAATACCAACTCACTTTGAGTCTTTGAAAGCAAAAACATGGTCAACAATTTCCTCACACAAGTAAAAAAAAAAAAATCCTCTGTGGAAACGGGTCAATGCACGGTTTACTGACGCAGTATCTCCAATGTGTGCGTACTGACACAGACAGCAGTCAAAGTAGTTTAGCTGTGAAAATGTTTTATATACAACTCCACATTCTTAACAGCTATAAAAGCAATACACATAGGCACGTTTCCTACTGTGGTGGTGGGAGGGGGGGGCTAAACAACTCTGAGAAACTGCTTGAACATCCCAGTGTGTGTTTGTGTAAAACTGTAAAACAGGGAGAATTTTCAGATGGCTTGAAACAGTATTTCACGGATCCATGTCTGTAAGACACATTCCTGCACATTTTGATGCATCAGCCAACAAGTTATGACACTGACACGCAATGTTACGCTATCTAGAGGGTCTAAAAAAATTAAAATAAAATGGCTACCGAGGCTCCTAAAATCCAAAATAAATGTAATTGTTCAGATGGCTTCCTTGGTACATACAATAAATGTGTGAAATGGCAGCAGCAGTGATTTCATAGGTGATCCTTGCCGCTCCTCTCTCTGTTCATCTTCTTCATTTTCATCCTCCTGTTCTGGAACCAGATCTTCACTTGTCTCTCGGTTAAACTGAGTATGCGGGCGACTTCATAGCGTCGATCTCGTGTCAAATACATATTGTAGAGGAACTCCTTCTCCAGCTCTAAAGTCTGATATTTTGTGTAGGGGCATCGCTTCTTTCTGGTTGAGCGTGCGTGGATCCAGTTTGCTGCAGGGTTGTCTGGAGAAAAAAAACACACACACACACACACACACACACACATAGAGAGAGGGGGCAGAGATACATGTGAAGTAAAGACACATGTGATGAGTGTGTTTTTTCATTTTAAACTTCAATTACTTCAGTAAATGGTTTCCTTGAAATTGGGCTTTGGTGACATATAGTCTTCCTGGTGTGGTTGCAGGGACTCAAAAGCAAAATAGTCGCTATTACATTGATAGACAATGCGCAAAAAAATGACTAGATTACATGTTTTCCTGTTTTTATTGATGGGTATTTACCAAGAGAAGAAAATAAATCAGTCCTATATTTATCCCTAAAGTATACCTCAGGTAAAATCTCATCGACATGGAGCAATGTGTATCTATTTTAGGTGTCCTGTGACATGAAAAACTTTAGGATCCCCTGTAATAACCCTTGCAGGGCGGGTTTTTTCCCCTCTCCGAGCCGCGGTATAGTACGAGACACTTTTATAGGTTAGTAAAAGCTCCAGTTTTACACACCCAGCTCATGCAGTTCTTAGGGTTGTAAATCAGGACCGGCTATTTCGTTTACTTACTTGGGTCAAGTTGTTGTTGTTTCTCCTCTTTGGGCTCGCTGTGGCTCGAAAGCTCACTTCCACTGTGCTCTTTGGTCGCTTTTTCTGGACACTCCGATACTCCACACGCGAATTCGCCGGCGAGCGGCCGAGCCTCAGCCTCCAACGCGTCGCACTCGGTAGCTTTCGGCGGTAAGACCTCCGGCTTTGTCCCGTACGGCCGACTGCTGGAGTGAAATCCGGCGAACGAAACGTGGTTGGAGATCGGGTCCATCCAGGAGCGGACGCCTACATATCTGCCGTCCGAGGCGGGGAGATGGGACTGGTGGTGGTGGTGGTGGTGCACGTACGGATGATAAATCCCCTGCGGGTGAACCGAGGACCAAGACGACGAGAAAACGGCGGACTTTGGTGCAAAATTGCAAGAGGAGAAGTCTGCGTTGTCCCCAGCACCTGACGGCCTCGGGGTCACCATGTGTGGAGCCTGAATAAAGCGAGCACCGTACACATCCTCCGGCTCCTGCCCCATTATAGCGTCCACATAGCAGTTGCTGAGAGTGCCACTGGAAGACATTTTTGATCTCTTCCTACTCATATAATAAGGGTTGCACTGTTACGGGAAGCTTCCCTCTATGAACAATCATAGTATTTTTGCTGGCCTGTATCTACAGGGATTGGTTACATGGATCACGTGGTCATATTTACCAATACAGCGAGTAAATCAATCCTGCCCTTGCTCTCTCCTTTTTTTTTTTTTCCTCTCTCGTCAGGTTTAATTTAGCTTTTCATTTCACAAATAATAAAAAGCCCCATCAGATGTGACTGGAGGGAGAAAACATGACAAATGAATGCAAATGGTTTTTTTTTGTGTGTTTCTCATGTGTGCTGCAGGAGGACGCTGCAACAATACAGGCAACCAAAAAAAGGGGAATAAGACACTTTCCCTCCCACATACACAGTCCACCAACACGGATTCCCTGTATCTTAATGTTTGAGAAAAGTCTCACAATATCGTCCTGATACCCTCATTGCTAGTAAAATGGTTTATAGACTTACGGAGTCCTCGTAAAATAGATGTAATAACATGTTGTAAAATAACAGACGCCATTTCCGTCCACAATGCGGCGGATCCATTGTTAATATTCGGTGAGGAAACATATTTTCTGAGTTGGTTTTAATTTTTAAAGCTAAGCCGGAAACAGCAGTTGTGAAATTATTGTATTCATTCAAAGGAGGGCAATAATGTCTTTATGTATCAATAAATGTTTTATGAGGTGCGTGTGATTATACATGCCGTCAATAAAAGGGGGAGAGAAAAAAAAGACGTGTAGAAGCAAAGTCCATCTGTGCATTGCTGTCTGAAAGCTTTAATTTTAATGTTCAAATATTATGCATCTTGTCTTTTTTAGAAATTAACTTTGTTCTTTATTATTTGTTGCCTGTGTTGAAGTCTGTTGACCTTCAGTCCAGGAAAAAAAAAAGAAGCACATTTCTAGGGGAAACAGATGTAGGTCAAATCTGCAAACTGGATCAGACTGACAGTTACATGTTATTTTATCACAGATAATTATAAAATATGAAGTTATTCTGGACTGAGGAGAGAAATGCAACGTGGCCACTGAGGCCTGCGTCGCTCGGAGGGAAGGAAGAGCTGATCCTCGCCTGTGAATTTGTGCTTGAACATAACTTACCCCGTCTGATAGTCCTCACAGACTGTTAGTTTAGTCACAAACAGGCTTGAAAATAAAAGCAACACCGTGTTTATTTGATTACACGAACCCCGCCTCTTCATTGCGTCTCTCTTGCTGCACTTTGTACACAGATATAGCGGATTGATTGTAAACGGCAGAGGAGGATGGGATATCTTTCAATTCAAACCATTTTTGGGTTAGGTGTTTGTTTTTTGGGGTGGCTTGTTTTCACAGATATCACTCTGTAGGTTTCAATTTGTCTTCAGGGAGCTGGAACAGCTTCAAAAGTATGTAATAACAGGTTAAGTATTGTGTCCTAACTACTAAAGCCGCATGTGTTAAAACTGCTGGCAGCCCGCAAACAAAATCTTTTCAAGGTTTTAAGCCGGTTCGTCTGATGAATTTAGAGCACAATGGTCAACATTTAGTACAATTAGAAACACATGTTAGGAGCATCTTTGGAATACAGTTTCTCCCCTTGTAGTAAATTCAAATAGGCTCGTTTAGAAAATGTAATTTCTTGTTTTTTCCCCTCCTTTTAAGCAAAAAAGCGCCTGCGTCAGTGCAAACAGTGCCGCAGATTTGATAAAGCAATTACTGATCAGTGAGATATTTGTAGACCAGAGATTTTGATAGTACAAACAAATACAAACCAGGATTATTTGACAATTTATTGCAAGATACATGCCACAAACATGCAATAAATTCACAGATTAACATTGTTTTCCGTCACTTTAAAGGCTCATAGAAACATTTTACTATGGAGCAAATGGCTTGCACATACTGTAAAACAAATGTTGCACTACACGACAATAAATGTGCTTTCATGACTGAAATAGAGTAACTCTTTCCGAACAGCTCGCCAATCGCGACACAACAGAATATCCATGTCTACTGGCAGAAGGAAGAAATCTACTTCTCCAATAATTTAAGACCAAAAAGTGTTACCCTGTGATAAACATAAGACAAACACACGACGCCACACATAGTACTATATAGTCACAGTTTCGTTGAAATTGAAGATAAAACGTCCAATGCCACTAAAGCATCAAACTGAATATGGGAGGAAATAATAAAAAAATAATTCAAAATAAAATAAAATAAAAGCTAAACACAGATACATGCAAGTTCACGAAAAGGTGAGATTTGAGGTCAGTTCACGGATGCGGTTTTCTCTGCTCATTTTCTTCAGTTTCATCCTGCGGTTCTGAAACCAGATCTTGACCTGCCTGTCGGTCAGGTTGACGCTCCGGCTGATCTCTAGGCGGCGCTCTCGGGTCAGATACATATTGAACAGAAACTCCTTCTCCAACTCCAAGGTCTGGTGCTTTGTGTAGGGGCATCTTTTCTTTCTCCCACTTTTTGCGGTTAACCAGTTGCTTGTCGCCCGGTCACTCTTGCAGTCTGTAACAGATTTCAGATCAGAAGAAACCACAGTATTTTTTTAGGGGCTTGCAGCGTGAAGAAACTCTCACCTGCTGCTTTTTTTGGATTTCACCTCTGGGAAATAACACACAATATGAAGGGTTTTCCCAGAATAGATACAAATACTGGGGATGTTATTAGTTACGTACATGCCACCACTAATGAAATAGAAATGAAAATGAAACCCCCAACTGATCAAACCGCACCCCGGGAACACACCTTCATACAGCCAAAAATTTTTTTTTTTAAAAACCCCAAAACATCTATTAATTTCACAAGAGTTTGAAATGCATTAACGTGTAACATTTGATTAAATTGTTAAAATGATAAACTTTTAATTTAATTTTAAATACAGTGATTTTTCTTTTGTTGTAGGGTTCTAGTTAAGGATAAACTATCCTATACTACACAGCTGCAAATGCACCAATTTCTTTAAGATCCTGGAGTGATTAAAGTCTGCATTTATACAAGAAATACCTCAACAATCATAGCTGCTTGCGTTAAATTCATAATTTTCTGAAAACCGTGCAATATATGCCCAAATATAAATCAGCAAATTGTGAAAATCTATTCTCTAAAACGGCATATTATTTGAATTTTAATATCTGAGGACAAGGGACACACTGCATGCTGCATGGTAAAACCATTCTCTGTTGCCTATTACTGCAACCTGAGAAAGACTCTCATTAAACATTACGACTTTAGGGTTGTTTGTGTTTTATACTTGGTTTTATGATGCTGGAGCCTTCTCAGCACTGCAGCGCCACAAGATAAAAGCTTTCATTGTAGCCAACCCACCTTTCCCTTCCTTCTGTAGCAGCTCAGGACTGGACACAGAGGCTTCCATGGGGCAGTTTTTCTCCCCAGAGCTGGGTTTGGGATCCGGGCTTTCTGCGGGGACCGGTGTCCTTGATGTCTCGGGTTTTTGCGGGACGTCCTCGGTTTTCTTTTCCACCTCTGCAAAATTAGAAGGCGCCGAGGAGGACTGCGGTTTTGGGGTGACTCGGCTGAGTTGCATCAGTGTTGGGTTTGGACTCGGCGGCTCATGGCAGTAGTTTTCCTGATGTTTCCCATTCGCATAAGTTTGGCTCAGTCTGAAATACCCCGGAACCGGGATCTCGGGACCATCGACTGGACAGGACTCTGGAATAACGTTAGAATATGCGGGGACCTCTGACGAGCTGACTTTTTGTACTCTCTTATCGGAGTACATGCAGCAGTTACTCTCTTCCTTTATGCTCTGTGAAAATGTACAGTTTGACATCTGACTGGATGTCTCTATTCTGCAGGGTCTATTCGGATCAGTCCAGTTATCTATTTGAGGTATGTACGAGTGGACATTCATGCCCATATTTTGGTGGTTGACCTCCCCTCTTTTGCCGAAAGACGGCAGGAGTCCACAGGTTTGCATTCCGTAAGTTCCCATTTCTGAGCCGGACGGCATGTACATGTTGCTGTTGGAGTAAAAGCTGTCCGTCCTGCAAGCACCAATTAAAGAGTCCACTAAAAATGTGTTTGCCGCAGGAGAGCTACTGGGAAAGGACATTTTGGGGGGTTAGGTTCTTTAGAGGAGAGAGATGTCCTTTGTAAGCTGACATATCTAGGAAAAACAATCTCCGTGTAAGTCAGGATGCCTCCCGACCACATGACAAGCCCACCAATGAGATTTGAAAATGGCCTTGAGACGCAGCCTCCTCTCCCCCCCCCACCCCACCCCACCCCCCCCTGCACGCGCTCGTACTGCGGATGCAGACGTGGTCAACAGCGACACCTACTACGCGGACTTGAAATTGGTTCGCATGCAGGCTTCGTGCAGGCAGAGCAGGAGCAGCATCGCGAGAGGCTGTGCAACAACAACTGAAACAATCAAATTTCCCCCCCAAAAAAAGACGATTTGAGTGGAATTTGAAAATAGATTGTCTTTATTTGGATTTTATCTTTTTAACACTAGAAGCTGCGTGGAGTGTTTTTAATGTGTAAAATGGACATATGTGTCTTTGTGTGAGAGACTGTGTGTGTGTGTGTGTGTGTGTGTGTGTGTGTGTGTGTGCGTGTGTGCGTGCGTGTGTGTGTGCGTGTGTGTGTGTGTGTGTGTGTGTGTGTGTGTGTGTGTGTGTGTGTGTGTGTGTGTGTGTGTGAGTTTGTGTGGGTGTTTATGTATGCGTGCGTGTAAACTGCTGCCTACATGGCGCATAGGCGACAACTGCAGACTATTTGAAAGAATTTTAAATGATGTTTTTTTATATTCATGACCTCCCCAGACCACCAACGACAGAGCCCACACTCACTCTGGCTGCACATATTTTACTGTCTCGAATATGTTTGAATTAAAATAAGAATGCAAAAAACTAAAAAATAAAGATGACTCATTGTGGAAATACTGTTTGCTCTGCCGATTGTGCATTAATTCAGAGTTTGAAGTTTTTGTTATTTATTTTGCATGGGGATATTTCCTGTTGATTTTTTTGTAATGAAACAGCATCAAATCCTTCTATATAAGGGGCCATTTGGGGTTCCTACAAAACACGAGCATTTAAATCAGCAGTCTTTAAGATCTATAAGGTATAGCTATTGTGTTTCCCATCATTCACAGATTTAAATTAAGCTACTACGAGAGCCCTGTATGCATGAAGGTCAACATTATAACCCTGCAACGCTTTACTTTACAAAATAAAATCCACTTAAGACGGATAGAAAATTGTCCTTTATTATTTGCACAAATTATTAAGCACAATATCGCATTTGCATTTTGTCACAAGTAAATGCAAAAGTTGAAAATAAAAACCTGCGGGACGTGGCGGTTGTACATAGTCCGGGGACTTTATTGTTCAGGGCTCCATTGTTTTTGTCTGCAAGGAAGGCAAACGTGTGCAAGATTAACAGCCTTAAACTGAGGGGTAAAAAAAAATAAAAAGCACTTTGTAAACTGAAAATATCCATCGACCGAAAATCAGAAATCAGGCCACAGTAACTGCAATGATCCTACAGGTATTTTACAAATAAACAAACAAATAAACAAAACACAATAAATGCAGCTTGAAATAATTATATCTTTGGTATTTATGCACCAAGCTTTAAATAATTATAACTTTGTTGAGAGGATGTGTAGACATCGTCTCCCCCTGTCTTCAATGCTCTTGGATATTTACAGTTGGTTGTAAATAAGCATTTGTAGTATGCAAAACATCTCAACATCATAGGATTCACAAACAACAAAATACAGGCTCGTTAACCTAAATGTGATTACGGAATATGTGTAGAAAAATACATTCCTCGTTACACCATCCGGTTATTTTTAAAGGAAGAACAAAACCATTTAACTGAGACATCTGATAACACGGACTTCATTTCGGTTTCAAAAGTCACCTTTCTAATAATGACAATTGCTCAAAGATAATACTGAGCTATTTATATAACCTGTGACGCACTGAACTGGGAAAAGAAATCTTTAATATGAGAGTATATTTCACATGCACAAAATATACACAAGTACCTCAAAAGTGGGGAAACTAATTGGACTTTAGGTTATGTTGTAATAATAATAATAATAATAATAATAATAATAATAATAATTTAAAGCAAATACCAGGAGATCCACCGATATTTAAAACACAAGAGTAGTACAGCATATAAAAATACAACGTATAAGGATAAAGTTAAAAAGTATTTGAAACTAATACCTCTGTGATGTTTTGTCTGACTATCACTATTATATGGTTTGTTTTTTTTTTTTCAAAAAAACAGATGCAGCCAGACGCAGATAAAAGATATTCTAATAGTCATACAACTGCAGAGTGAAAGAAAATGAAAGAAAATGTAAAGCACGTTTGTGTCTCAGTGGCCTCCAGGTGAAGATTTTAAAGGCTCAGACGACAAAGAGACGGAGTGGAATTATTTATTTCAGCTTGACTCGTCCTTTCAGAACACTTGAACATGACTTGTAAATGTAATTGCCGTCTGGAAGATTCGGGATTTGAATCTGCTACACTGAGCAGTGAGTGAAAGAAATAATGTGTGTTAAGAATTGTTGTTTTCTTATTTTCTTCAGATAAACTGTAGCCTGTGTGTTGAATGGTTTAATATAAAAATAAGTGATTTTGGACAATTATTTTTTAAAGAATTAAAAAAAATAATAATTACATTCACACTAAACGTGCAACAGGATGCGATTATAATTAAAATAACAACCTATACAGTGCCTGTGTTGAACGGATTATACCTCCATTTAATGATTATCATGCGGGGTAGACGTTAATTTTGGCTGAACTCTGCATTTCCACTGGCGGCCAAAAGCTGCAAGTCTGCCCTCATGTGGATACACCGAGAAGCAAAGTGAAACACCCTACACAGTTGGTAATGTAATTTCACTGTAGGACATGATGACAACCCAATTAAACGCTTAATGAAACCTCGGTTTTATAATAGCCTTTTTGGGAAATAACTGTAGATGTGATGCATCACAAACGAAATAAACATTAGTCCCTCTCCAAACTTTTTTTTTTTTTTTTTTTCATAAAGGACGCTGAAACAATGGGTGTAATTGATGCTGTATGGACGTAAAGTGAAAATAATACTTCCACCACATGGGTTATCAATAAAGCGACTCTTTGTGTGGAATAAATGCATTTATTTACTCCGTCCTTTTACTGGTTACAAAAGTAGCACAGAGATAAAACACCACTGAGGTAAAAGCATGGCATGAGTTCACTTGTAGAGTTACTGTAAAGTGGAACTGCACAAAACGTTTCACCTGCCTTAATGCAGAGATGGAAACGAGCTTTTTTTTTTGCGCCAACAACTGGAAATCTCTCTCATTTGCAGCAGATTGAGAGGCGTCAAAGCCACATTTAGCTTATCTAGAACATTGGAAAAGCAGATAAACTTGAAAAAAAAATTACCTATCTGTCCATAAGGCGGTCCTTGTTATAGAATATCCTCCACTGCAGTTAACACTGGTAACATTAGGATGTCAAAAGGAGCTGCATATGGACGGGATGCGCAGAAATCTCTTGAATTCTCTAAACATTTGTAGCCTGGAGTGAAACTACTTTGAGGCAGGAAAAAGAATCAGTCCTCTTGTGGTCTGGGGGTTGGGACACCAAAGTCCAATAGCCCCCTATTTAGACATTTACAGCTAGGTTTATTATACTGTCTAGACGGTTCAAGGTTTAGTAAACAACCCAGTGTTTGAAAGCAAAGGAAATAAAGGACTATACAGGCCTGCAAGCGCCGAATTTCTCCATTGATGAATCATAAGAAAGATTCTCCCTTTTCCTGTGTTATTTTTGTAGGACTTGGTTAAGTTCATGTGACAAGTTTCGTGACTATGATACAACATTTGTCGTGTCTACTTTATTTCACACCACAACGTGCATTATTATACATGCGTCTTATAAATGGGCATTACACAAGGAAGAAGCCTACATATATTTTTATATAAATAATTACAAAGTACAGCTCGCGCTTTGCTGAAATATTGGTTGCCAATAGAGCGAAAATATGTGAACACAAATAAATTAAATGCAGATTTTTGTTTGCAAAAATATGGCATCTTGGGTTTCCAAATGCTGGATATTTATAAAATAAACTGTTTAAACTGGACGATCAGGGTTCAAATATGCAGAGGGAGCAGTCTTTAAACTGTGTGTGTGTGTGTGTGTGTGTGTGTGTGTGTGTGTGTGTGTGTGTGTGTGTGTGTGTGTGTATAGCTCCTATTTTACTAGTGTGTGTGATTGTGTGTGTGTGTGTGTGTATGTCAGGTATCAGAATAAAGGATTTCCGGTGAAATACTGTAGACGGTCGCGGTTCAGCTTTTTCTCTTTCATTCTTCTATTCTGAAACCAAATCTTCACCTGCCGATCAGACAGGTTTAACATCCTGGACAGCTGAAGCCGCTTCTCTTTGTTAATGTACACGTTGAAGAAAAACTCTCGTTCAAGTTCTCGGATCTGGTATTTGGTGTAAGGACACCTCTTCTTCCTGGACTTGGTTGATGAACCTGCGCATGAAAAAGGAAAAAATGTGAAAAATGTTTCCTAAAAATTCCAACATCAGGTCATAAAATGTTGTGCACAGTACAGTTAACAGGTTGAGGAATATATTTATTTATTTATGCACAAAGGCCCTCTCTCTTTCACACACACACACACACACACACACACACACACACACACACACACACTTACAGATACAACAACAGAGGAATTTGCATTAAAGTGAACTTGTGATTTTTAAGCATATATTGGTGTATGGAGCGCATTATATCCCATAATTCCCTAAAAATGTTGCTATAGGCTACCTGCACAACATTGCCTATAAACTGATAAAATAAACGTTCAATAAAACGATTCCTAACTTTCTTACATTCCATATCAACACAAATCAATTCCAGCAACACCGTATTGTTATTAGACACAAGGCAACCTTTAAAGTATGGTTACTTAACCGTTTCCCATTGTAAATACCTTTACAACCGTAAAGTAAATCTTATTGGGATATAAAAGCTTTTGCATGCTTATAAAGAGGCACATAACCCTGGACGGCCACGGCGGTGGACATAGTGCAGTCCAAGACACTCCATTGTCTAAATTGCACACCTTATATCCAAGACCGAGAAGAAAATAGTGACTTACTCTGTTGGTTGTTCTTGTCGCCGCAGTTGGAGGATGAGTCCTCGTCGACGCTCCCGCTCGGGTCAGCTTTGTGCTCCTCCAGTTTGGTTAAAGCCTGATTGTTGTTCGCATCATCTCCGGGGGCAGCAGAGTCTGTCTTTTGTTTGGGGAGCTCCGCGTTGGGCTTGTCCGAGTTAGGATTGTCAAGAAACTGGTCGAAGCCCTGGGGGAGAACCCCATTTCGGCCGACGCCGGTGAAGAAATTGCACGGCGAGCTCGTCCCCCCGTGGTGGCCGTACAAGGACTCATTTTTGAATATCACATCCGCCCTGCTGCTGGAGGACTGGATCAAGTCCCGGTGCATTATCTCGTCCGTTGAGTAGTAAGACGCGTAATTGCCCCTGTAGTGCCATTTGCTGGGATGGTCCAGTCCATAATCCCTGAAAGCGACTTCTCGAACAGGTTGGACTTGGGCTATGTTGGGAGAATAGGGGAAATTAATCTGACACGAAGTAGTCTGCGGTAAAAAGGAGGAGACTGATGTAAAATCGGGCGTCGAAACGTAATAAGTGCAGCTCGGTAAATACATATTTGACGCACAGCTGCGATCATCGTATTCCGTCATATCTCTTCTTCCTTTTTCCTCTTTGCAGACAGAGGAAAGGAATTGGCAGCTTGACTGTGTTAAACTTTGTCCATCTATAGCACCACAGGCGTGTGGAAAGACCCCGCTAGGGAGAAAAAATCGGAAACGTAGGCAGACCTGCAATACATCTTGATCGATTCTTGAGGTAATTGTGTCATGTGATCCAGCCAAGAAATTACCATACATCAATATCAGTCATTAAAAACTGTCCGGAGAAACTCATGTGAGCGCATGCAAGAGACTCCATTGGCTGCCTGGCTGCAGAGGAAACTCCTCTCCAGCCTTCTTGCCCTATAGCTCACGGAAAGAGAAATTTGTGAACCACCGCTGGAATATTTAATTGAAAGCTTTACAGCAACATCCTCTTTTGTCGTGTAATGACAAGTAATGACAACCGCACACGCTCATTTGTCAATAAATTTGTGCAATTTGGAGCGGGCGTCGCGTTTGTAGCAACAGTTAGGTTGGGAACATTGAAGTTGACCTCCGCATTCAATGTAAAGCTTGAGGAGAATGGCACAAAGGCCACCGTGTCTGGATTTCAACTGCACAGTTCAACCAGAAAGTGCAGCATTATATGTGATCCACAAGCGACTCATTAGGTGTCTTTTTATGGAACAAAATGTTAGGGTTCATTGCATATAATCACTGTGCACCCATTGTGGTTGGGGGGGGGCACGTTTAAATACACACAAACAAACGCAGCACGAAAATATTTGAATTAATTATCAGACACAATCATCTCGTCCTGCAGTGTGGTGCACAGAGAGAGCTCAGGAGCCACAACAGAAATAACAAAACTATCACAAATTCAGACAGAAATTCTACTGCAAAGCATGCAAACTAGCCCATGTGTGCCTCAGCGTTAAAATCGGTTTGTATTAGTATGTCAGAACATAAATTGCTTGCTTGGTTTTTCATTTGTTACACCCTTAATAATAAATGCAGATGGACGCGGGGTAGAAACAGCCAAATGAAACAGCCCACGGTCCGCTGTTGTAGATGCAGAAAACGTTGATTTTGGATACCACAAAAACATAAGCTAAGTCCATTGCAAGCATGAATCACTGAGCACATTCAGCATGGCCAAGTCCAAAACAACTGGCTTTGACCGTCTGTGGTCTAGGTGATGTCCACCAAGCACTCACCATCAAGCCTCTGCACCCAAACCCATTTTATGGCACGAAGGCAGCCATGCCTGCAGTGTTTGGGCCCTCTTCTCGGTGGGGAAAACGGACTTTACGGATACCACATGTCTTCAAGCCTCGATCAATATTTTTGTTTGCCCTCTGTGAGTATGATTTTTTTTTTATGTTTATTACTCGTAAGAAAGTAGAAAATTGAAGGAGGTTATTTAAAGTAAATCAAAGCACTTCATAGTTGTTGGGGTTTTTTTGCGCGCAGGCCTGATACTTGGACACAGAACACAGAATGGTCATGAAAGTACAAATGCAGCTTTGACTTGAAGGCCAGTATTGTAGTCAGAGGACAAGTAGATTTCTCACTGCTTTAAGCCTGAAGGTCACACGCAATGTGGAAGTAGCTTAAAGGCGACTGGGTTTATTGTTATTGGGGGGTAAAATCAGCTTTGTGGTCGGATTCTCTGTTTTCAACCTTTAACACACTCCACGCTGAAACCCCTCAGACGGTTTACAATGAAAACTAAAATGCGCATTTAATTACAGAAATTAGGGTAGAAATTAAATATTTCTTACCAAACTAATCCAACCGACGCACCGCCTGAAGAGTGCGAAAAACCATAAGAACTCACCACCAACAGTTACAGTGAAATGTTAAAGAATGTAATGATCGTAAAAGAGTTCAATAGACCTGTTGCTTACCACTTGTGACTGTTTCTTGGTGTTCTTTATTATCATTAATACGGCTATGACTGTTATTATTATTATAATTATTATTCCTCGATGCGTTCTGCAAGTTTGCACTTAAATATATGGTAATAATAATAAACTCTATTTATACAGTACTTGTCAAAATAAAAGTAAAACAAAGTGCCTTAAAGGGTTGACCGAGGAACAGAAACATTTCAGGGCTGTATTAAATTAAAATCAGGCAATTACCTTAATACATGAATAAAATGGAAATAAAATACCAATAAAATTATGTTACCTACTCATATATGAGCTCAGAATAAAACATTTTTACTTTCACATTTTAAATCTTACTGCAGGAGACAAGTTTTGGGGGACCAAACTTGAATCCAGCTGTTGCTGTCCGTAATATTAACCAATTTACCAAATATATTTATATATAAGATACTTCAAAATTGTTCATATTGGTTTGAGAAAAAGACATTTAGTTAATCTAATGTCTGTCTCTCAATAAGTAGCTTTGTTGGGAGGAAGTAGCACAGCCTACTAACTTGACCTTAACTTTGTTTTGGCGCCCCCACTATCTTAAGTATCCTGAGCTATATGACGTTGTCTGGCTGCGTTTGGCAGTAAAGCAATAAAGCAACAAATACTGAGGGAGAACATTGCGTATCGGACACACAGAAAACTCAGTGTAGCCGTTCAAAATAGCCTAAGCAATAAAACCTAATAGGTGAAACATGTTGTGTGGGGAGGATTCTTAGCTGAAAAACAACAGGCCCGCAGCACACTGAGAGCAGACTGGGAACAAAATAACATACTGAAAATATAGCAAGATTGCGCCAATGTAAAGGACAGTTATCCCCAGCAGATCCACAAAATAAAAGCCCAAAAGTGGACAATAGAGATCTGTAACAGCCACTGATGGGGGAACCATCTCTCCACGTTTCATTACAAATGACTAGGTTTGAATTGTTACTCTTTCATGAACCTTTACTGCAGCGTTAAGTTCTGCAGAGAAACATAGTGATGCAGTGGTGATGACGTGGTGATGATGTAATGGGAGGGCCCATTAATAGATCCACTCTCCTGTAATGTTTCATGTGTACTGATCTGTTGGTAACTCTTCAATAGTTTCAGCTTGAGCCTCTGCATTTAGAACCAGACTGACTATTTGTGGCCTGTAAACTTTGTGAGTTCTCAACCACAAGTGTGGAAACAATAATAAAGTGTTTTGGTAAATATATAAACATTAACCCCGTTAGATGCGTGGATAGCAGATCAACATACGAGCTGCTATTACGCACAGAGGACTCTGCTTTGGGCGTTTAAAAGTGGATAAAATACGACTGAGAAATTCAAGGATGCGCAGATGACTTCTGAACTGCACCAGATCCATTTGACCACAGTATCCTCCTACTCACATGTGGAGGTTTTGTGTGTCGGTGTGAGCTGCTGCTGCTGCTGCTGCTGCTGTGGTGTGTATTTACTGTGAGCAGGAATTACACGTCTGCGTGGAAACGCTAAGTAGGCCTAGTGGACACATTAGAACAAGTGACTAACACCGGAGAAAATACACAAATATAAGTTTAAAAAATGTGATGATTAAATTCCAGTCAGAGTAATATTTTTTAAGTATTTGCCACTGAATTTACAACTAAAAGTCGAGGTGGTTATGACATAATAAAGCAGTCACTGACTCTGTTATGCGGGCTGTGTAAATTTTTGAAATCTCACTTTTTGAAGCTACATGATAAAGACAGATATTCACTACAAGTATGAGCGCGAACTACAGAGCGTTTATTTTTAAAGTGATGGAGGATGGTTAGGAAGTTATTAAAGTGTGTATAAAGTCAACAAATACTTTCCTTTCACACACGATTACTCGCATACACTGGTATTTCCACCGCTGCAGGCAGCCAAAAACATCAAAATCTCTTCAGTGAATCCTCTCCACATCTATTTTGAAATCATTACTAAAATCTGGTCTCAGAGTGCAGACTACTGACACATTTTACATATTCAAACAGACAATGATCAACTAGTGAGCGGCTAACTGATCTTGAATACAACCACAGTATACACACTTGAAGCCTTTGGTGAAACCTGCCATTAAATAAAACTGTCTAAAAATATAAAATGATTCACATGATGCACAGTCACTTGTGTACAGGTAATTTAAAAATGATCTTTATTTACAAATGTATGAAACTGCAGTTTGCGTCCATTTTACAAAATCTCTCGTCCGTGCGTAAAAGGATGGCTGGTCTAATGCGCATTCGTGTTTTTTGAAAGTAACATGCTCTCTGGAATGATACATAAATGTAAAGTGAAATCTTATTTAATTATTTATGAATTAATATAAAAGACTAGGCCTACAGAGCCAGAGTGATTCCGATGCATCTGATCTGTGTAGTATATACATGTTGGTATAGCAACACGAAACCAGGTAAAAGTCCAGACTTATTTCTTACAGTTATAATGTAGTTTGAACTAACACCATCAGAATGTTTCACATCCACAAACTCACTTGTTCTGCATTCATTTGAACACCTTCTGGCACTAAATTCGGCGCAAATCTTTTCTTCCACACACCGACTTTGAATGTGTACGCGGCCACTTACAAACAAAAGCAATGTCACTTTTCTTGTTTGATCAAATGTACAGTCAATTTGGGGGGAAATTAAACATTTAATTGTATGACAGCAATTAGGAAATAGACATGCATTTATAATATATTTGGCAATAATGTTTTATCCGTCCGTAAACATGAACTTGACTGCTTGCTTCCACATTTGGCCTACACTGCATGCGCAGGCAATCATACAAAATACACAAAAAAACACATAGAACCATATTCCTGTTTAAATAGGTCTGAAATCTGAGCTGGATGGTAAACAATTAGCCTTAAATGTGTATAATTATGCGCGGCTGCAGGCCAACCAGGTGCCAGGGCCTAGTGCGCATTCAGAGAATCTCAAAGGCAGAAATCTTAATCTGCTTTATTACTAATACCACTGAAGATGTTGGGACTGGATAAAAATGTAGCCCATTATGTGACAGGAATATAAACATTTTATACATATTTATAAATAGCTACAAGTCCATGCCACAAACCGAATGGGTATGTGATGTGCTGCAACATTCATAGTACAACAGCGCATATTTTCTGTGCGCTGCTGGTCACGATCAAGTACAAAGGTCATCAGTAAGCGGAGAAAGCTTGTTCGCGCATCATCAGTCGTTTCTTCTTCATCCTCCGGTTCTGAAACCATATTTTCACTTGTTGGTCGCTCAGGTCCAGTCTGTCTGACAGCTCTTTTCGTTTCTGTCTGTTGATGAATTCATTCATCATAAATTCATTTTCAAGTTCAGCCAGCTGTGGCTTCGAGTAAGGCTTTCTCTTCTTTCTGGTTTTCACTTGTGACGAGCACCAT